AAAAAATCATTCAAATAAATATCAAACTTACTAAAGATGTTGAAGGATATTATTTCGTCAAACTACATAAGCACATTTATTTTTCGTTTTCAGTCTTTTGCCACGTTAATTGAATTGAAGATCCTGGGTGCACATGCACTCATCATAATAGCATCTATAGGAAAGTCATTTGACAAGAGTGCAGAACTTTTAATAACTGCACTTGTTTTAATTAATTATTAATATTAAATCTAACAATTTTATATTAACCTACCCTATTCATGGAAATAAAGACATAACGCTGATTGATGTCGTTTACATGTAGCCATGACCAGTATGGATTAAACGGATGTAGACAAGGGAAGCAACTTTTATTATATACCAATTACCAATTCCGCGAATTCAAGAGTCCGCGAACATGTCAGATGAGAGAAAAACGTGAAAATTACAACCTTTGAAATTAATCCCCTGTACAGTATTTTGATTATTTTAATTTTTGGTATCTTTTTTTGATGTATACCTGTATTCTACCAATCACTTGTAACATACCAGTCTGGTCATCAACAGAGAGTTTGACACCTGTATACCTGTATTCTACCAATCACGTGTAACATACCTGTCTGGTCATCAACCTTTGGACGGAGTGACCCGGAGGAAACCTATAGTTCCCTCTGGTTTCATCGGTAAGGGAATGATAATTCATTATTTACATGTATACATTTTACCCATTTACACAGTTGAAAAGATTAAACATGCATTATAAATAAAACATAGCAACATATTGTAGCTTCCTTTTTAATTTTTGATCTGTACAGTTAATGATTTCATGGAAGCATACTCTTTAATTTTTATCATACAGCTAATATTATTGAGATTTATAGTATTTTCTTTGAGATTTATATTTAAAAAGTTATTGTTTCATTTTAAAGTAATTTTTTTTGTTTGTTGTTTTAGATGATGGACCACTCTACTCTCTTTTACAACAGGTGCCCCTACAGATTCACAAAGTTCCAGTGTTGAGTTTCCATGACCCCTATTCAGTGAGTGCACATCTTTATGTATTCTACTTTCAAAATTTTTACTACTTGTAATACACTTTGGATTTGATTTTAGATATGCCCTATTTACAAATTCAGACTTTTTGTGTACAAGTATGATATTTAATTATGCTCCCCTTTGAAGAAGGGAGGGCATATTGCTTTGCTGCTGTCTGTCGGTCGGTCTGTCTGTCGGTCCACTTAGATTCCGTTCATTTTCTTTGCAACAGTTGCATATACTGAAATGAAATTTGGTATACAGATATATCACTTATTAAATATCTAGATCAAATTATGTTTTGGATACGATCGCACTATTTTTGACAGAGTGATGCCCCTTTGACTTAGAAAATTTTTAATTATTTGTAGTTTCTGTTCATCAATTACTTCACAACTGTTGCACATATGGAAATGAAATTTGAAATACATATTTATCAGATAAATATCTTGTTCAAGTTCTGTTTTGGGTTCAATCACACCATTTTTGACACAGAGTAATGCCCTTTTGGACCTAGAAAAGTTCCATTGGGGGGAGGGGGCATGAGTGTTTTACGAACATCTCTTGTTCTTTCAATATTACTTGGTCCTAAAATCAAATTTATACAGTATTTTAATAAACATATAATTGTCTTCTTCTGTCATGTATAATTCAAAGTCACAAGGCAACATGAAAATTTCCATTTCTTGTTTTACAGTCCACAACAGAAAAAGGAATAAAGTTGACAGGACTTTCCACATTGTCTTTGGTAGCTGCAGCTTACAATAGAGCCAACTGCATTAGACATAGCAATTGCTTCATCAAAGGTAAGTCTCCAGTTGTTTTCATTCCCAAGTAACTATAAGCCCTACCTGAACAAACTTGCATGGATGATGCATCTAGGGATGGATGCTTCTAGACTTGCTTCGGATGCTGGATCTGACCTATATTTTCCAAACAAGCAATTCAGCTGTATAACTATTCAAGATATTATGATCAAATTTTACACATATACAAATTTTCATGTTGCTTAACTAATATATCCTCAGCAGGGCATTCATGTCCCATGGACGTATTTCTAGTTCAATTTTCATCATGATTGTATAAAAAATTCTTCAATCTGCCTAAATGAAATATGTCATTTTTACCAAAATAACATCAGGTAAAAATGATGTCTTGTTGACAAGTTCATCATGATCAATGATTTGTTTATAACCAGCTGTGTGGGATTTAATGAGCAACTTTAATAAGTTTTATTGTCGTTTATTATGAAGATACAGTTTAAAGTTGCAAATCATTTTATTTTCTCAGACTGGTATTATGAGGAATACATTTCTATTGTGTGTGAATCACATCTTTTTATAAATACCTTTTTTGGCCTTATCAAGATTCTTTTAGAGTCAAAGAATTAATGATGCAGTTCTTTAATCATTTATATGTCCTCTATGCACCAGATGTGTGTGAAATGGGATATCACTAGTAGGGTCATCACTTTGTAACTTATAACAATTAGCAGCCTTGTTGTCATCTAATCCCTTTAATTATCATCTCCAATGGTGGTTACGGTGGAATGGTTAAGTTTTCAGTGCCCTTTAAGGTTTTCATTTATATGTCCTAGGTGTGTGCCTTTTTGGATAGTGTATTCCCACATGCAGCGGCAACATTTTTCTGAGTTACATTTTCACTGGTACAAGAAATTGGATGGTAGCTTGGAATTTGATTTATCAATGGCTTTAAAGCCATGACAATTTAGTACCTTGAGTCATATAATCCCTTTTATTCTCATCTTATGGTGGTCTACGGTGGAGGGTTGCAGTGCCACATTTTACATTGAGTCCCCTAATGTTCAGGTCCTTATTCGTTTCTTCATATATGTGTGCAATAATTTTAACCACTTTGTTGCAGTTCTATTGGCAGTTGATGCTGTTTCAATATTTCCAAGAACATACCTCATACCTTCATTTTCAGGTGAGGTACAGTCATGGCCTTGGATGGCAGCTGTGCAGCTCTTTGTCCCCTTTTCTCACCTCTTTGTAGCTAAACTGGTATAGTGACACTTCTTACATTAATGGAAAGGATCCATGCCAGGCCTCCTTTGAATACTTCCCTTCTTATCCAGTCAAGTAGACCATCACAGTCTGCCACTTTTTATTGAGTTAATTCTTTAAATGCATTGTTCCAGATTTAGCAGTCTTTTCTTCATATACTTTGCAATAATTTCCAGGGATATGCCTTTGTTGTACAATCTTCATTTCAAATGCACATTTTCAATATCTTAACTGCAAACATTCAATTTTTTGAGGCCTTACAATGTTTTAAACTCTTTTTATACCCGCTGACCGAAGATGGCCACATTCAGCTTTTTTGTGCACTCTTGTGTGTCTGTCTGTCTGTCTCACCTCTTTGTGTCTGTATGTCCGTGTGACTCCGTAACAAATTTTCATTTACAGTTTTCTCAGCAACTATTCATTGTAGATGCTTGAAATTTTCACACTTCTTCTTGCTGCATGCCATAAGGTGGGATATCATTTTCACTCAAATTCAATGTTTTCCTGTTTGCATGTGTCTCTCAGATTTAGCAGTCTTTTACATAGCAAATTTTCTTTGTAGTAATTTCCAGGCAATGCCTTTGTTGTACAATCTTCATTTCATGTGCAGAGGTGCTTCAAAAGACAATTTTAACAAAATCAATTTTTCTGTGGCCTTACAATGTGATGGGAAACTCATTTTCACCGTGTGGGATTTAATGAATTTTAGTTTTACATACCCTTGTGTAATTCCTGTTTGTCTGTGTGTTAAAGTATCTTGTTTCGTACGTAACAAATTTTCGTCACAGTTTTTCATTAGCAATATTCATTGAAAGATGCTTGAAATTTTCACACAATCTTTCTGAGGCATGCCATATGGTGGGATACATTTTCACTGAAATTCAATGTCAACTTCATATTTTTGTGTGTCATCTGCCTGTAATTGAACTCATACATATTAAATTTAGTGCATTTTCATCAGCAATTGGGGGTATTGTAGATGCATTGAAATTTTAACATTTTTGTTTACCATCTTCTCTGAGGAACAAGACATGTGAATTGATGGTCACCCTTTCACTCATTAATGGACATCAAGAATATTTTTGTCTGTGTGTTTGTCTGTTTCAATACATAAAAATTTTAACAAGTTTTATTTTCATTATTTTCATCAATTTTTGGTAAAATTTTTTTCAGTATTGAATTACACTCTTTGTTGAGGAATTTCATAAATGTAGCAAAATTATGTGGCATACATTGAATTAAAGGATATGACTCTTTTTTTCAGGTGTCATGATGTCATCTTCATATTTTGGTGTGTAATTGAACTTATTTATACATAAATGAAGTGCTTATTTACATTTCAGGTTGGTGCCTACACACTATTATACTGTCAATTTTTTTCTTACAAAGCCACATGAGGCTTTTTTACTTAGTCTTCTTATGGGAACAAGACATTTGACTGGATTGGTGGTCCCTTTATTGCTTTGCTACAAGAATATTTCAAAATATTATGATGCTTTAAAGCCACTAACCAAAAATTTCAATGGAAAAATTTAACAATTTATTTTTATTTTTCAATTTTTTTAAAATTTTTGCCTTCAATATTGAATTTACTCGTGTCTAAAATCATAAATGTACAAAATTATGATACTGAATTAAAGGAAACTCTTTTTTTCAGGTGTGCATGATGTAACTTCCTAGATGGTGTGTAGGCTGTTTATCAACATGTGAAATCAATGTGTATTTCAGGTTGGTATGTTTATACTGTCAATTTTTTTTCTTAAAAGCCACATGAGGCATTTATTATGCCCCCTTCAAAGAAGGAAGGGCATATTATTGCTTTGCTGCTGTCGGTCTGTCTGTCGGTACACTTTCTGTTCATTTTCTTTGCAACCATTGCACATACTGAAATGAAATTTGGTATACAGGTATATCAAATGAATATCTAGGTCAAGTTATGTTTTGGATAAGAACGCAAGACCTTAATTACTTCCTTGTGTGAGAACTAAAAAGGAGCAGATATCTCTCATTTTGACTACAATTTCTCTGATTTCAGGAGTAGAAGATCAATAATTCACAACATACAATGCGGCATGCAGTCTGGTCATCAATGGAGAGTTTTGACACCTGTATACCTGTATTCTACCAGTCATCTTTGTAGCCTTTGTTGTGTTCATCAGACAGGTAAGAAAAAGAGTTAATAAAATTAAATCAAGCTATGTAGTGATATATAGTGAAATTATTTCTTTGTTTGAGACATAAATGCAATCTTGTAGCACCCTCCCTTGGGAATTTGGCAAAATCCCTGATCCATGTAAACCTTGAATTTGCTTATATGGAAGATTAATTCATATTTAAACTTTGAATTTCAAATTGACCTTTGATATACTGTAGATCATATATGAATTATTTTTCAAGGTTCTTTTTATCATTTCAGGGTTTAGGTGAAAGTGGTCTGTCACTGAGTCAACAATTACTGTAGCCAATAGTTGGTGCCATTCACAAGCAGAATAATATACATAAAGCCTGAACATCCATCATGTTTGATCTTAAACTACCAGACTATCAGGTAATATGTTTATTAATGATTGTTATTTTGGCAAAAAAGTGTTGTTTCTGTCTTGGTCTATCATTAACATTAGCTAATTTATTTACTTTGTATTTGAAATACAATTGTCATGTATAGTAACAAAAATTATTTGAATTTTTCTAGTCTTAAAACATTCTTGTATGTAAAATGAGGATGTTTCTATCATTATCATTATATATACTGTGAAAACTTGTACTTTAAATATACATAAAGTGTCATAGTAAAAATATTATGGGATTTATTGTATTTCTATAGTGTTGGACAACTGGAGCCTTGCCTAGTATTACTCAAATTTGAGCTATGGGGATAGAGTCCAGAGATATTTTCCCTATGGATGTGTTTCAAAGAATTCTGATGGACCTTGGAGCAGTGTCAGTTATGGGAGATAATTTCACTACTTGTGTTTTTCCAAAAGTTTCCATGTGACGTAGAGATGGACTCAGGATATTTTCTTGCTACCCATGTTTTTCCAAGAATTTCCATGTTGCCTGAAGCAGGACAAACTACCAGGAATACTATGTGAAGGATCCTTTATAGTATTTGGATGGTTGTGGGAATTTGATGTATTATTGTAGTGTATAACCATGACATTTTTCATGATATATGTAGGATAATAGAAGAATTCATTTTGCTAGATAATTGTTTAAGAATACTTAAGCTTACTGTTTTATCTGAACGAGACAGAATCTTTCAGAGAGCATTTAATTATTTTTTTTTATCTAAAAGTATTGAGGTTTAAATTATACTTTTTTTCCTTTTACTTAAATTTCCTTTTTGAAGTTTATTGTATTCTTAAGATTGAGTCAATATTTATTTGTATGTCTTTGTTTTAAACATTTTTTGTATACGTGTATAAAGTTTTTTTTTTTTAGATATATTATTTAAGCTGAACAGCGGTGGAGGTTTTTTTTATTTGCTGAACGCTGAAAAGAAACTAATTTTAGCTTATTATTGCCTTAGATTGTTTCTATACATAAGAAATCTAGGTAACTGTTTGAGGTTTTTTTTTCCTTAGATATGTATTTGTATCAGCACTTGTCTAAATTTTTAAAGTTAAAAACAGGAGTTTTTTTTTTAAATCAGTGCTTGATCACAAAAAATATATTTAATACAAGGAAGGTTTTTAGTGCTTACCTGAATATTTGAGTTTAAAAGTAAGGGATATATTTAGCACTTGTCTGAATATTTAAGTTTTTAAAAAAAATAGGGAGGTACATGTATTTAAGTTTAAAAATAGGAAGTTATTTACGCTTGTCTGAATATTTAGATTTAAATGTGACTGAGGTATTCACTGCTTGTTTGATTTTTTTTTAAAAATTGAGGGAGATTTAGTGCTTGTCTGAATATTTAGATTTAAATGTGACTGAGGTATTCAGTGCTTGTTTGAATATTTAGATTTAAATGTGACTGAGGCATCAAGGCTTGTTTGAATATTTTAAAAAATGAGGGAGGTATTTAGTGCTTGTCTGAATAATTAACTGAGCCCAAATAAGGCTTGCTGAATATTTAACTTATAAAGGAGGGAGGTTGTTAGTATTTTCCTGTATTGTTTGAATATTTTAAAAAATGAGGGAGGTATTTAGTGCTTGTCTGAATAATTAACTTTAAAAAATAAGGGAGGTACATCTTTTTAGTTTCCTGACAAATATGGAAATTTTATAGCTAAATATTTATTTAAAGTATTTATTACTTGCCTGAAATTAGTTTCAAAATGAGGGAAGTATTTCTCTATTGAATGTTTAACTTTAAAAAAAAAATAAGGGAGGTAGTTAGTTCTTGCCAGAATATTTAATTTTAAAACGGGCGAGTTGTTAGTGTTTAGCAGTACTTTCTGAAATTTTTAGAAGTTTTAAAATAGGATGGTATTTTGCCTATATATTAGTTCTTGCCTGAATATTTAATTTGCTTGCCTGCTTGCCTGACATTTACTATGGAAATTTTATGCGAGGGAGGTATTGAGTGCTTGCCTGACATTTAATATGGAAATTTTATATGAGGGAGGTATTTATTGCTAAATATTTATTTAAAAAAACAGTGGTATTTATTACTTGCCTGAATTATTCAGTTTCAAAATGAGGGAAGCATTTAGTGCTCTATTGAATGTTTAACTTTAAAAAAAAAATAAGGGAGGTAGTTAGTTCTTGCCAGAATATTTAATTTTAAAACGGGCGAGGTTGTTAGTGTTTACCTGTATTTACAATGACATTTTAAATGAGGGAGATTTTCAGTACTTGCCTGAAATTTATAGGCCTTTAGAAGTGTTGAAATAGGATGGTATTTTGCCTATATATTTAAGTTTTAAGGCAGTGTAGTGCCTGCTTGAAGATAATGGAGTCTGTAAAGAAAATGTCACACTTCAACACAAAAATGTTAATGAGCAAGTTATATTTTTAGAAAAGTAAGTGGAAAGGGTAATTTCTGTGGTTTATATTGCTTGCAGTGTTTTCTGCTTTTTGTTCATTTAATGGCAAAACTATTTTTTTCTTTTCAAACGGAAAATTCTATGAAAAATTGATTCAAAGAATGTTTTGAAGATGACGAACAGTGAATGATCCAAAACAAAAACTGTAATCAATACAAATCTGTAAATAAGGCATAAAACAAGGATCACAGGAAATGACAGCTGTGGGATCAGGTGCCTTGGAGGACTAAGCATCCCATAACGATCCGGTCACACCTGTTACTAGCATAATGTAATGATCAGAGAGATGGAATATTCCGTGCTCAGTTTCAGTATCAAACAAAGCTGAAATAGTTCAGTCATAATAACCACAGAAATTATCCATTGTATGGTATTTTTATGGTAGATATTCTGTCTTTCTTCTTCCTTTCTCTTTTTATTTTTTTTATATAAAGCTGAAAGAAGCAAGGTCTTTTTTCTTCTTACTATCCCCCTTTTTAACTAAAGGTAATTTTTTTTTAATATTACTTATTAATTCAAATGAAAATTATTTATATACTATCTCTTCTTTCTTTCTCTTATATATATTTTTTTACATAAACGTTCTTATTTCTCTTTTCTTTCTTTTTTTTAATTAGGAGTTGTTGTTTTTTTAATTTTAAGATAGTTTTATTTTTTATCATATGATTTAGTTTTAATTTATTTTCTTATGGCAAGGACGCTTCGTTTAAAAGCTTTAATCAGAAAAAAAATCCCCTTTTTCTCATTATTTCATAATCAGAGATATCTTAACGGCTTTCACAACCTCCCTATTATAACCCATTGTAACTTTCAGTGTTTGTCAGAAAGTTATCTAAGTTGTTGTATTTTTGTAATGGTAATGATGTTTAACAAGCAGTAGTGATTAGTAATTTTCCTCATTTTTTTTCAGAGAAATTATATTTAACTGAACATTCATATTTGTACCTGAAAGTTAACATAAAATGTCTGGCTCGAGAGAAACAATGAAGTCACGCTTGCTCAGATTTTTTCTTAAATGAGCACGTTATCTTTTTATAAGGGTAGATATTTTCCATACAACGGGTAATTTCTGTGGCTCATGTCGTTTGCATTTTTGCCCTTTTTAATTCATTTCAATGGTAGTGTTGTTGCTTTATAAAGCAGAAAATTCTATGAAAAATTGAGTCAATGAATGTTTTGAAGATGACGAACAGTGAATGATCCAAAACAAAAACTGTAATCAATACAAATCTGTAAATAAGGCATAAAACAAGGATCACAGGAAATCACAGCTGTGGGATCAGGTGCCTTGGAGGACTAAGCATCCCATAACGATCCGGTCACACCTGTTACTAGCATAATGTAATGATCAGAGAGATGGAATATTCCGTGTTCAGTTTCAGTATCAAACAAAGCTGAAATATAGTTCAGTTATAATAACCACAGAAATTATCCATTGTATGGTATTTTTATGGTAGATATTCTGTCTTAAGTTTCTTCTTGCTTTCTCTTTTTATTTTTTTTTCTACAGCTTAAAGAAGCAAGGTCTTTTTTCTTCTGACTATCCCCCCCTTTTTAAGGTATTTTTTTTTAAATATTTCTTATTAATTCGAATGACAATTATTTATATACTATCTCTTCTTTCTTTCTCATATTTTTTTTACATAAACTTTCTTATTTCTCTTTTCTTTCTTTTATTTTAATTAGGAATTGTTTTTTTGTTTTTTTTTTAGATAGTTTTATTTTTCTATCATATAATTCAGTTTTAATTTATTTTCTTATGGTTAGGACGCTTCGTTTAAAAGCTTTAATAGAAAGAAATATCCCTTTCTCATTATTTCATATCAGAGATATCTCAACGGCTATCACAACCTCCCTCTATATCTCATTGTAACTTTCTGTCTTTGTCATAAAGTTATCTAAGTTGTTGTATTTTTGTAAAAGTAAAGATGTTTAAATAGCAGTAGTGAATAGTAGTTTTCCTCATTTTTTCAGAGAAATTATATTTAACTGAAGACATCTCATGGATTTTAAAAACCTCCCTATGTACCTTATTATAGCTATGACCATTAAAATGTCTGGCTCGAGAGAAACAAATGAAGTCACACTTGATCAGATTTTTTCTGAAATGAGCACATTTATCTTTTTATAAGGTTAGTTATTTTCCATACAACAGGTAATTTCTGTGGCTCATGTTGTTTGCATTTTTCCCTTTTTTATTCATTTCAAAGGTAATACTCTAAGCCAGTTGCTTTTAAAAGCAGAAAATTCTATAATAAAATTGAGTCAATGAATGTTTTGAAGATGACGAACAGTGAATGATCCAAAACAAAAACTGTAATCAATACAAATCTGTAAATAAGGCATAAAACAAGGATCACAGGAAATCAGAGCTGTGGGATCAGGTGCCTTGGAGGACTAAGCATCCCATAACGATCCGGTCACACCTGTTACTAGCATAATGTAATGATCAGAGAGATGGAATATTCCGTGCTCAGTTTCAGTATCAAACAAAGCTGAAATAGTTCAGTCATAATAACCACAGAAATTATCCATTGTATGGTATTTTTATGGTAGATATTCTGTCTTTCTTCTTCCTTTCTCTTTTTATTTTTTTGTAAAGCTTAAAGAAGCAGATCTTTTTTCTTCTGACTATCCCTTTTTTTTAACTAAAGGTATTTTTATAAATATTTGTTATTTATTCAAATGACAATTATTTATATACTATCTCTTCTTTCTTTCTCTTATATATTTTTTTTACAGAAACGTTCTTATTTCTCTTTTCTTTCTTTTTTTTTAATTAGGAGTTGTTGTTTTTTTTTTTTTTTTTTTTATTTTAAGATAGTTTTATTTTTTATCATATGATTTAGTTTTAATTTATTTTCTTATGGTTAGGACGCTTCGTTTAAAAGCTTTAATCAGAAGAAATATCCCTTTTTTCTCATTATTTTATAATCAGAGATATCTCAACGGCTATCACAACCTCCCTTTTATAACTCAGTGTAACTTTCCGTGTTTGTCAGTAAGTTATCTAAGTTGTTATATTTTTTTTGTGGTAATGATGTTTAAAAAGCAGTAGTGAATAGTAATTTTCCTCATTTTTTTTTCAGAGGAATTATAATTAACTGAAGACTTCTCATGGATTTTAAAAACCTCCCTATGTACCTTATTATAGCTATGACCATTAAAATGTCTGGCTCGAGAGAAACGAATGAAGTCAAACTTGCTCAGATTTTTTTCTTAAATGAGCACCTTATCTTTTTATAAGGGTAGAT